CCCGCAGCCCCCCATGCCAAGGCAGAGTCTGTGTCTTTAATTCCTTTATTGGATGGTTCACACACAGGTCGGGCCCGGAGGGCTGCGCGCGGTGGCCATGCAGGTTGTTGGGGGGGGAGGCTCCGAGCAGCCCCCCACTTGTTGATGCAGCTTCCCGCTGAGGCTTCAGGGAAGGGGGGGTCGTGGGCTGCTGGGGGAGCCCTGACCTGGGGCAAGGGTGGGTTTAAGGGGAGGTAGGGGTGGGGCAGGAGATTTGGGGGACAGTCAGGGGGAGCAGCTGTAGGACCCAGCTAATATAGATGGGGGGTTGGGGGGGCTGCAGGAGGGAACATTGGGGGGATGAAGGGGTGTTTGGGGAGTTGGGGGTTAGTATGAGGAGGGATGGGGGGTTGGGGGGACAGCGCGTGGAGGGGTTGGGGGCCTGGGCATTGGGGGTCAGTGTGGGGAGCGGTCAGGGACAGCGCGGGGCTCACGGGCAGCGACTCGGGGTGCTGAATATATAATATAGATATTTTTCTATTTCTCACAAATCCCTTAAATAACCGTTATATACAGATACGGGGACACACACACACACACACACACCTTAGACTGGGGGGTAGTGTCTCAGATTGCACAGTCCGGTGGGAGGGGATAGGTGTGGGGTGAGGGGTGTGGGGTTGGCAGGAGGCCGCCCCTTAACATCTCGGAGCAGCGGTGGGGGGCTGTCAGGAGGAGGTGGAGGGCTGTGGGGGGGTTGGGAGGAGGTGGGGGGTTGGGGGCTGTTGGGGGCCGCCCTCTCACCGCTTGGAGCAGCGGTGGGGGGCTGTCGGGGGAGGCTGTGAGGGGTTGGGGGGCTGTCCGGGGGGCTGTGAGGGGTTGGGGGGCTGTCGGGGGGCTGTGAGGGGTTGGGGGCTGTCGGGGGGCCGCCCCCTCACAGCTCGGAGCACCGGTCCTGTCGGCTGTAGTGGTCGAACTGGCTTTTCCAGTGGCCCATGTACGCGCTCCAGCGGTGAAACTCCAGCCGCCACTGCCGCTCAGCCTCCTCGATGTTATCTGGGGGGAGAGAGCCCAGGGGGCGGTTAGCGTCCCTCAGAGCTGGGCCCAGAGCCCCCTGCCCCCTTCCCCGAACAATTCCCCCAGGCCCGCTCGCAAGACGGGGGACCGAGAGCCGCTTGGGGCCGGATCCAGGCTGGCGTTTGCCCCCCCCCCAGCTCTGGCTGTCGTTGGGTTTTCTTGGCCGTCTGTCCAGCTGCCTCCGCTCGCCCGCGGGGTGCTGGGAACAAGGCCGAAATCCCGTCTTGTTCGGCTGCCGTGACGCGGGGTCCCTGGGCTGTCGCTCCGGGATGGCGAGGGGCCCGTCGGGCTCTTGGGAATGCCGCCGCCCGCTCCGGCGTTCGAGTCAATTATTTCCGCGGCCCTGGGAAAACAGTCCCCGGAGATCTGCAGCCAGTCTCCGTCCGGGAGGGGCGTTGGGACCTGCTGTTGAGTCCCCATCCTGGCCGCCCCTCCACAAACAGCTGGAGAAACGTCCATGTTATGTGCTTCTACCGCACCGTGTGCCTCCGGCCGGCCGAGCCACATCTCTCGGGCTCTGGCTTTGCCCACAGCGGCTGGAGTCTGTCCCTGAGCCGGCGAGTCCTTGCTCCTGGCCTGGGGGTGGGGGTGGCGGTCTCGTTTTCCGGAGGGGGCCAGTCGCTCCCGGTCCCGCTCGGTCGCTGTGGCTGGGGCTGAATCTCTCTTCAGTTGGGGGTCGCAGTGCAGTTTGGATCTGTTCACCCGACCCCCGGGACCTTGAATTCTCTGCTCTGTCATAACCCACCTGTCGGCCAGCCCCGACCCCCTCTTGTGTGACCCCCGTGGCTGTCGGCAGAGACGCCGCAGGGCCCCCCCGGCGTGGGTCAAGCGTGGCACCGGGGGTGCTGGGGAGTGACGCGGAATCTAACCGGGACCAAGCAGATGCTCTCGGAGGGGCCAGGTCGCGGAGACCCGGCATGTCCCGGATCAGCCGCGGGGCCCGATGACGCGCCCCACACGTGACCCTCATCCAGTGCCACCCGGCCAGGTAGGGCTGAATCAGGCTCATGTGAGGTGATTAGACACCCAAGGGCTGAACAGGATAATGCAGGAGCCCGGACGCCTGGGTTCTCTCCCCGGCTCTGGGAGGGGAGTGGGGGCTGGTGGTTAGAGCAGGGGGCTGGGAGCCAGGACTCCTGGGTTCTCTCCCCTCCTCTGGGAGGGGAGTGGGGGCTGGTGGTTAGAGCAGGGGGCTGGGAGCCAGGACTCCTGGGTTCTCTCCCCAGCTCTGGGAGGGGAGTGGGGGCTGGTGGTTAGAGCAGGGGGCTGGGGGCCAGGGCTCCCGGGGTCTCTCCCCGGGTCTCGGGGGGGG